TAAATTAAATTATATAGTATATATATTAAATATAAATATATATTATATAGTATATATCATATAGTAGTACTATATATATTATATAGTACTAATTGAACTCGAATTAGTCTAATTTGACTTCAATTAGTACAATTGAAGTCAAATTAGTATTAATTGAACTCGAATTAGTCTAATTTGACTTCAATTAGTACAATTGAAGTCGAATTAGTACAATTGAAGTCAAATTAGTACTAATTGAACTCGAATTAGTCTAATTTGACTTCAATTGTACTAATTGAAGTCAAATTAGTACAATTGAACTCGAATTAGTCTAATTTTACTTCAATTAGTACTAATTGAACTCGAATTAGTCTAATTTGACTTCAATTAGTACAATTGAAGTCAAATTAGACTAATTCGAGTTCAATTAATACTAATTTGACTTCAATTGTACTAATTGAAGTCAAATTAGTACTAATTGAAGTCAAATTAGTACAATTGAACTCGAATTAGTCTAATTTGACTTCAATTAGTACTAATTGAACTCGAATTAGTACTAATTTGACTTCAATTAGTACAATTGAAGTCAAATTAGACTAATTCGAGTTCAATTAGTACTAATTGAACTTCAATTGTACTAATTCGACTTCAATTGTACTAATTGAAGTCAAATTAGACTAATTCGAGTTCAATTAGTACTAATTAAAGTCAAATTAGACTAATTCGAGTTCAATTGTACTAATTTGACTTCAATTAGTACAATTGAAGTCAAATTAGACTAATTTGACTTCAATTAGTACTAATTTGACTTCAATTGTACTAATTCGACTTCAATTGTACTAATTGAAGTCAAATTAGACTAATTCGAGTTCAATTAATACTAATTTGACTTCAATTGTACTAATTGAAGTCAAATTAGACTAATTCGAGTTCAATTAGTACTAATTTGACTTCAATTTTACTAATTGAAGTCAAATTAGTACTAATTGAGCTCGAATTAGTCTAATTTGACTTCAATTGTACTAATTGAAGTCAAATTAGTACTAATTGAACTCGAATTAGTCTAATTTGACTTCAATTAGTACAATTGAAGTCAAATTAGTACTAATTCGATTTCGATTGTACTAATTTGACTTCAATTAGTACAATTGAAGTCAAATTAGTACTAATTCCGATATATCATATATATACTATATAATATATATAGTACTA